AGGCGTTGCCATTGGCTTACACTCACTCATACCAAATTTCTCAAACACACTCCTAGCGTATTTTTCTTGAGTTAAATATACTCTATGCTCATTATCTCGTGTAAAAATTCCTAGACATTGACTCGCCAGTCCCAAATCTTTCATTTCAAATTCATTTGACAATTCGTGCTTTACTTCGCATAACCATTCACTATCATCCGTCGCTATCAACATGTCATCCACATATACAGCTATTAACATTATTTTATTTTTTCTTCGCGACATAAATAAACACGGATCTTGAGGCATTGCCTCGAAACCTAAATTTTTCAATTTACCAGAACACTTTTTGTTCCACTGGCGACCTGATTGCTTTAAGCCATACAAAGACTTTATTAATAAACATACACAATCATCATTTTCACGTATTTCACTCAACCAACGCTTCGCTGTTACTATAATATATTTACTATATTTATCGCCATCTTCTATTATTTTCACTAGAGTTTCTCCCAGCATCTCCGGAACTTCCATGAAGACATTTTCTTCCAGCTCACCGTTGAGATACGCGGTTACAACATCCATTTGATGAATGTCCAATCCTAGCTCCGCAGATAACGCTGACAATATCCGGATCGAGGTTGATCTCGCAACCGGGGAGTAAGTCTCATAAAAATCCTCTCCTGGACGTTGAGAGCATCCCTTAGCTACGAGTCTAGCCTTCTTAACCTCTCCTTGATTAGTATTCTTTTTACATAATACTAATCGACTGCCAATTACCTTTCGGTCCTTTGGCCTCGGCACCAATTTCCAAGTACCGTTCTTTATCTGCGCGACGATCTCCTTTTCAACAGCTTCTTTCCAAGCTTTCGCATCTTCACAATGCTTTATTTCGCTCCAACAGCTCGGAATATTTGTCGCCAGGTTGATAAATACTTCATCTTCCCCTGATGATTGAGTCGCGTCGTCATCGCCTTCTTCTCCGTTGTCTATAGGCATCGACGCATACTGTTTTCTCGGTCTACCCACACTACCGCTACGTACAATGCGTGGACGTCCCCGCCCTCTTTTCGAAGGCCCGACTATTTTCTCCCACGATACTGTCGCGCCCCTCTTTTTCCCCTTCGGGACTTGGTTTATTTCGTCCTCAGGCACTTGGTCGATCGCGCACATTTTCTTCGCAGGCCCTCTCTTCGCACGCAATATTCTCCTCGGCTTTTCTTCCACGTCGTCCAACTCCATTTCCACAGGCTCTTGTTCCGTTTGTTTTGGTTCTTCTTCGGTTTCCACCGACTCTCTGATATCCACAGTAACATTTTCATCGAGTATTTCGCGGTATTCATGTCTAAATGCAGTTTCTGACATAAATTTTATATCACGACATACTGTTGTTTTCCTTGATTCAGGTAAATATACACGATACGCCTTAGATTGCGCGTCATAACCCATGAATATTCCCGGTACCGCTCTCGAATCAAACTTTCCCTTTCCAGGATTTTTGTTTTTAACAAACACTTTAGCACCAAACACTTGCATAAATTTCACCGTTGGAATTTTACCGGTCCACACTGTGAATGGGACTCTACCATCCAATGCTGACGTTGGACATCTATTGCGGATATAACTGGCTGTATTAATAGCTTCAGCCCAAAATGACGGCGGACTTCCCGCCTGTCTCATCATACACCTAGCCATCTCTACCAGCGTACGATTCATTCGTTCAGCAATCCCATTTTGTTGAGGGGTATGTGGGACCGTTAATCTTTGCTGTATTCCATGTATCTCTAAAAAATTATTAAACTCGCGATTCACGTACTCTAGACCATTATCAGATTGCAAAAATTTTATTTTATTACCCGTAAAAGTTTCAGCTTCCGCTTTGTAACTTTTAAACACGTCCAATACTTCACTTTTACTGTTTATAAAACGCACTTGACAATAACGCGATTTATCGTCGATGAAAGTTACAAAATACGGTTTCCCTTTTGGGAAACGATTATGAACTCCGGAGGAACATCATCACCTGGTGTCCAGCCAGCAGAGAAAATATACGAGGAATTGTGGTACCCCATAACTCCCAGAGAAATCAAGGCCGCCTTTCCACCTAATGGGACCTCACCGGGTCCTGACGGCTTCTCTGTGCGCAATCTCAAGAAAGTCCCGATTGGAGTTTGGACTAAGATTCTTAACATCTTGATGTTGGTCGGAAAACTACCCCAACATCTACTTGAGTCACGAACGACACTTATTCCCAAGAAGGACGACGCAGCGGAACCTGGCGAATTTCGCCCTATCACCGTCTCATCCACCATCACTAGGACCTTTCACAAAGTTTTGGCCAATCGATTGTCTAACAGCATCCCCTTGGATCCAAGGCAGAAAGCGTTCAGACCAGTAGACGGCTGCGCCGAAAACATCTTCACGATGGATTTCATCTTGAAATATACGCGGCAAAATTTCAAACCACTGTACTTGGCGACCCTAGACGTAGCCAAGGCATACGACTCAGTAACACATCAAACAATCATGGACACGCTGACCACAGCTGGAGTGCCTGACTTAATGATCAAGTACATCCAAGAAGTCTACGGACATTCCACTACAAGAATCCAATGCAATGGATGGACATCCGATGAAATAAAACCTACATGTGGAGTGAAGCAGGGTGACCCACTGTCCCCAATTCTCTTCAACATGGTCATCGACCGACTGTTCTCTATACTTCCTAAAGAGGTAGGAATTCGAGTCGGGAATCAAGTAGTGAACGTGATCGGTTATGCCGACGACCTAGTACTGTTTGCCACTACCAAGGTAGGACTTCAAACGATCCTTGACGCTTCTGCAAACTACTTGCACGAGTGCGGCCTCCATATAAATTCGTCCAAGTGCTCTACAGTCTCAGTGAAAACGGTTCCAAAGGAGAAAAAAGTCGCAATTGATGCAAATGAAACATTTACGTGCTTCGGTCAACCCATTCCGGCCCTCAAAAGGTCGGACCAGTGGAAGTACTTAGGAGTTCCCTTCTCTCCAGAAGGCCGCCTAACAGTCAAGCCTCTAGACAAACTCAATGCGGACATAGAAACTCTAAGGAAAGCCCCATTGAAGTCACAACAACGACTGTTTGCTCTAAGAGCGCATGTGCTTCCAGGACTATACCACCTACTAGTCTTAGGATCGACCAACCTCAGCCTACTCAACAAACTCGACATCACAGTTAGAGCAGCGGTACGTAAATGGCTCGATCTTCCAAAAGATGTCCCCAACGCCTACTTCCACGCTGATGTTAAGGACGGAGGCTTATCCATTCCTTCCTTTCGTTGGACAGCCCCACTTCAACGCCTAAACCGACTTAGGAACCTTCAGAAATCCGAAGGACACACTGAAGCTCCTGTGGCGATGGAGGCGTTTCTGGAAAAAGAAATAAAGCAAGCTCAAGAACGGTTGAAAGACCAAGGAGGCTTTATAGATTCATTAACAGCAAGTAAAGCTCGCTTGGCCAGAATCCTCCACCAATCCAACGACGGGAAACCTCTAATACGATCTAGTGACGTTATACAACAGCACAGATGGGTAACAGATGGAAATCTGCTACTATCTGGAAGAGAGTTTGTACACATGAACAAACTCCGAATCAATGCCGTCCCCCTCAAAGTTAGAACATCGAGGGGCAGAATCAAGAGAGAAACAGACTGCCGAGGAGGATGTAAGCAAACGGAAACACTAGAACACGTACTACAAACATGCCACCGTACCCACGCACCAAGAATCCAGCGACACGACAACTGCCTTAACTACATACTCAAGAAACTGCCCAAGACCTGCAAAGTCCATGAGGAACCAAAATTTAAAACACCTGATGGCCTGAAAAAGCCTGATGCAATAATAATTCAAGGCGAAGAAGCAATTCTCATTGACGCTCAAGTCGTTGGTGAGAGAGCTGACCTTGACAGACAGTTCCGCACCAAGAAGGAGAAATACCAGACCCTCACGGGAGACATAATGAATCGATACTCAGTAAAGCATGTGACCTTCACGGCACTTACAATATCTTCCAGAGGAGTTTGGAGTAAGCAGTCCTATGAGCACCTCATCAAACTGAACCTGATCAAAAACTCTGATGCAAAGCTACTATCCATCAAAGTACTAACGGGCGGGATAAAATCCATCAACATCTTTAACTCAACAACCGCAATGAAAAGGAGAACCCACGACGACCACGGATGATTCCCCAGAATAAACAGTGCTACCTGCTAGAAAAGGTACAATCTATAGATCAAGGAATATATAATACTTATACCACCTCTAGTCAGAAATGCAAAAACAGCATTTCCAAATTATTTCTATAGCAAAAAAAAAAAAAAAAAAAAAAAAAAAAAAAAAAAAAATAGCCAAATGCCTCGTCATCTAATTAGTGACGCGCACGAATGGATTAATGAGACCTCCTTCGTCCCTATTTTTTACCTAGCGAAAAGTCCGACTCTCCGAGGGCCCAGCCTGAGCTCCATCCATTACTGCTGGACCACTCCGCACAACAAGGCGGTTAGTGATCACAGCAGGCCAAAGTCATTTTCCTAAGTAGACGGAGGGAACCTAGTATCACAGCCTTCTGCATTCTGACTGCCAAGAACTCAGCTTTTGATGAGCAAGCTGGAACTCTGGCAAGTGAGGATACAAAAGACTGTTTCATCCCTCCAAGGACGCCAACAATCAGGACGACAAGCTTGACACGGTAACCTGGCCAAAGTTTGCCAATTTCAAACAGGAGATCCTGATATATTTGTCTTTTGTGCTCTTCTTTGGCTGAGATGTTGTATTCAGCCGGGGCCGAAAACTCTATGACATAAATGTCACGAGTAGCCTTGTCGAAGAGCACAATATCAGGTTTGTTGTGATCTATCCGCCGGGTTGTTGCAAATGGCATGTTCCAATAGATTTTGCAATGCGTGCTTAAATCTTTCAACGAGATTAACGCTCATTTTCAAGGGAGTAATACTCTAGTCCACGAGTTGCAGCCACGTTCGATGAAGCTGCTTCTTCAATTTCTCCGGAGGTTCATGGATCCACTTATGTTGAAACCTGAAATCTTTTACGATAACGTCCATAACATAATCTTTGAAGCAGTTTCGAATCAACTTAATTTGTTTGAAGTAGATGTTGGACCCGATTGTCGAGAGTATTTACTGCTTCAACAAAAGTCTGGAGTTCCTGAATCAATCATTAAGCAGGTGCGCAACGATTGTTTAAAATTTCTTGTAACCGCTTCCATTGAAATCCGCCGGAGACTGCCGATCGATGATCCATTTCTCTCAGATCTGACAGTTTTCGCGAAGGAAACTACCCTCTTCGATCCTGACAGGAATTCATCGTTTTCGAAAGTAGAAAACACCTGTCATGCTCTTAAGGTTCCCAGAGGGAGACTTATTCAGGAAGAGTAGAGTTCCTTGTACTGTGTCGATCCGAATTTGAAAGAGCAATGGAGCAAACTACCATTTGACGAAATGTGGATAGAAATTTGCAACTTTACTCGTTCAGATGGGACTTTACAGTTTCCGAATTTGCGCTTACTATTAAGTATCATTAGAGCACTTGCTCATTCAAACACTGCGGCGGAAAGGGCATTTTCTCTCATACCTAATTTTAAGACAAAAAAAAGGAATAACCTCAGTCACATAACCCTGAATTCACTTTGTGTGATAAAATCTGTCTCCAATTCAGGGAACCTACGAGTATCAGAAATATCGATCGACAAAAGTTATATTGGGTTGATGTCTTCATGTAATTTGTACTCAAAAGCGAAGAAGGCCGCACCCAAAAGCTTGACTTTGTATTCCTGCGAAAGTAGTGATGATTGTTGAGAAAAAAATCATACAGCTAAGAAAGTCGGTCTCTTCTTTTCTGGCTGCTCGACAATTCTTCTACTCTGGATTTCGACATTTTAAATATTTGCCATAGAGTGATAGTTTGTTTAGTATTAGTTATAATTATTTATAATTTCAGAATGTTTATATTTATAAAGGAACTCGTGCTCCAAGCTCGGTTCGTTTTTAATTGATAACAATAATTATTTTTTCAGTATTAGTATTAAATATACTTAAAAGAAGCTTGGGCCTTCAGCTTTGCTTCTTTCTAGTCATTGATATTATGTTTGTAATATTGTTATTATTAAGTGAAGCTTACAAAGAAGCTAGAGCCCTCAGCTCTGATTCTTTCTAGTCAACTTAGATCGGTTTCGATATTTTAATGAAATATTTAAGGTTACAAAGAAGCCAGAGCCTTCAGCTTTGCTTCTTTCTAGTCAACAATGTTCTGGTTGCCACATTGTTATACATAACTTAAGTCTATGAAAAAGGTAAAGCCCTCAGCTCTGCTTTCTTCTAGTCAATTGTGTTCTTTGTGCAATATATTCGTTTCGGACTTTAGGTTCCAAAGAAGCCAGAGCCTTTAGCTCAGCTTCTTTCTAGTCAATTTTAAGCTTTGCCCAAAAAAATATTAAATAATCAATTGTTTAAAATTTAATAATACAATTAGTCATGGTATAGGCCTACTAGGGATCCCGCCATGTAAAATAACGGGAACGCATACCATAACACGGTACCTCCAGGGTGATGCGGAAAGCTGTGTTCAATACTATTGTTATTAAAACAGTATAAAAAAGAAAAAATATTTTAGGAATAAAAAAAAAATGAACCAGTCGAGGACTCGATCTCAAAAGCCTCGACGTTATAACGAACCTAAGGGAGGGGGAAATTCTCGAACCGGCGGAATTAAAGTCGAACATAGGAGAAGGGGGCCTGCCAGCGAGCGAGGGGCCCGAAAGCCAAGAGAGGAATAGTGAGCTACCTACTCCACGCTACTCCTGCTCTCCTGATACCAGCGAGTAAGAATCACCGTTTCATTTAGTATTTATTTATTGTTTGATTTGTTTATTTTGGTAATCTACGAATTGTTAGTTTAGCCATTTATGGGCCCATGGTCATTGGTATAATTGTTTATAATGTAAATAAGTTAATGTTCAAAATATTAGTTCGCCTACGTGCAATAATTATATCTATCGGGTTATATTATTTATATTATTTTGGGAACCGTTTGTTATAACAATGTATAACAATTTTGGGAAACGATTTTGTTTAAATTATCACAGCGAGTTGTTCATATAAACTAAATTATTATTTATTTTTGGCGAATAAGTTTATAATTCTAAACCTGGCCGACAGAGGGCTAAAACGACAAAAGATTCCAACTGACTAAGAGTTGGATAATTGTTTTGATAAGCGATTTTGGTTTTCATAAAATAATATTTTTTATTTTTGATAATATTTTATTTTTTCTTTTTCAATACCGAAAATAATTGCTTAAGTCTTTCTTTGCAATATTATAAGCGAAAATATTTATTTGACAACAGAATTATATTTTTTTGTCAAAAGATGTTAGATTTATTTGGTAGTACCAAAATATTCTAAGTCCCAAGTAAGTTTTAGTATGGGAAATCTGCGAATGGATATAAAATGAAAGAATTGACGATTAAAATAATAAAGAATTGTGAATTCGATGCGGCGAATGGATATAAAATGAGAGAATGGAAGATTATTATTTTAAAGAATTGGGAATTGGAATTAAAAACTTAGAAAAATGTTGTCAAAACCCTTAGTACCAGTGCTATCGATAGAGGGCCAGAACGAACAACAATTATCGCTGGAAGACAATTATTGTTGAGTTATTATAAACCATTTTGAAGTCGGGAAAAGCAACCAGTCTAGTGGAAGTGAATACACTTGTGGATACACTCTCTCGTGTGATTTCTGGAAGACTACCCACCTCGGCCCTACACGGGTATTGGTGAGTAATTCTTTTACACTTCCTATAGACTAAGTTCTCCCTGGTTTTGGTACCTTCTGTCCAAATCCAGTAGGCGAAACTAAGCCGTGTAGGTGGGAGAGATAGGGATACACTCCGATCTCTCTCTGGGGTTGTTCGGTAGGCGAGGGTGAGGCGGATACACTCCACTCATTCTCGAAGGGAGGTTGGGTGAATTAGGGGTTTTGTACCTTAAGACCGCGTTTGCTATCTGGGAAGGAGAAATAGGCTCCATCGTGACCGTGTATACTGTACGGAGACTAGTTTTGACCGCGATAATTGTTGTACGCCGCGGCCATCTTGTTGGTACTACGCTATTTTGTATACTTGTGTGTGTGATACAACGTTACTCTGTTTGAACTATATATATAAATTTTGTTTAACTTAGTTTGATGTATATATATTTTATTTTTAAAAATACAGAACTTTTATTTAGTTAATTACGCGTATTTTTATTTAATTGGATATTTTGTGTATTTTGATTAATAACCGAGATTGTTCCCTTTGATTTCAACCCTGGACTCCGGCGAGCTCTATATCGAGCCAAAGGGGATAAGTTTGGGAAAAATCACCCGTTACAACGTCCTAAGCCAACACTTAAGCCGCACAGCCATCGGAAGCCTCTTGGACTCAATGTTAAAACTTATATAAACACTACGTTTTGGAACTTCCAGTAACCATACGTACTAGCAATAATTATTATAAATAAACATTATCACCAATAATAAAAATAATAACAATTATTATTAATAACAGCATAAAAAAAATATTTGATAAAATAAAAAAAAAAAAATTGAATCAGAAGAGGATTCGACCACAAAAGTTTCATCGTCGCAAGCTGACACTTACGCCGCAGAGCCATTTAACTGCTTATCGGGTAAATGTTAAAACTTATATAAGAACTGCGTTTGGGAACTTCCAGTAACCACACGTACTAGCAATAATTATTATCAATAACCATTATCAATAATAATAAAAATAATAACAGTTATTATTATAATTATAATTATTATAATTATAATAATAATAATTATTATTATTATTAATAACAGCATAAAAAAAATATTTTATAAAATAAAAAAAAAAAATACTGAATCCCACAAGGATTCGACCACAAAAGTTTCATCTTCGCAAGCTGACACTTACGCCGCAGAGCCATTTAACCGCTTATCGGGTAAATGTTAAACCTTATATAGAAACTGCGTTTGGGAACTTCCAGTAACCACATGTACTAGCAATAATTATTATCAATAACCATAATCAATAATAATAAAAATAATAACAATTATTATTAATAACAGCATAAAAAAAATATTTAATGAAATAAAAAAAAATTTAATCGGACGAGGATTCGACCACAAAAGCTTCGTTGCCGCGAGTTGACACTTACGCCACACAGCCATTTGACCACTCCTTGCACGAACGTTAAAACTAATATAAAAACTACGTTTGGGAATTATAAGTAACCATACTTACTAGCAATTATAATAATAATAATTATTATTATTTAATAATAATTAACTATTTTCTACAAATACGTAAAAAATTAATTAAAATTTTTTTATTAAAAAAATTTTTTTTTCTTAATTTCTATTAATTAAAAAATAATTTATTTTTCATATATAAAAAAAAATTAAACCTATATGTTGTAAACGAAAACGCATTATTTATTTATTTTAATAAAAATTGCAGCATTATTTTTCCCGCTGTATGTTTCGGCTGAAATCGGATTCTGAGAAATTCACACGAACAGAGAGCTACTGTTGTGTGAGTTACTCCTCTGTGCCTTGTGGCAGGGGCTTCATTCCCCTCGATTTGTCGACGTGTCTCGGATTCTCTCGGCTCCGCTCGGCTTTCCGATTCACAGACACACATTGCTTACTTGTGTACGGGCGCGCGCGACGCCTAGAGAAGGGGTAAAAAAATCGCACGATCTGGCCACACTGGTAAGAAAGTTGATAAATTCTCGGGTAAGCTTGTACCAGCGCGTAAAGGTCCATATTATGTACACAGCTTCTTTTCGAATAGTATGCTTAATATCGAGGATCGTGATCACAATTTCATAGGTAGATTTAGTATTTCAGATCTCAAAATATCGAGACGATCAAATTGACAAGCGAAACTGAGTGGTGACATAAAGAATGAATAAATACTGCTGTTATATTTTGTATTAAACTATATAAATTAATACCAACCACCACCAATATATGTGTTCATGGCTTAATGTGTGATTTTTCTCATAGGATGGAGCGTCTGAAGTCCGTCTTATCCTCATTAGACAAAGAGAAGAAGACGCCGGAAGTGAAATCAATAGTCAATCTCATCCGAAGCTAGAATTATAATGGAATGATTGGTGATAAACAGACCTACTGGACCAATCCTGTATTCACCAACCCAGCAGCATTTCTTGGATTTGACATTCCAATAACCGAGGATATTGCATTAAAATCAGGTTTCCATCGAGCTAGTAGTAACAATAATGTACTAATTTATGAAGAAGCTAGTTCTGTACTTGCAATACCAGAGACACCAGTAGAAATTCCAGCAGAGATACCAGTGACTAGAGTGCCATCTTTCGTGATCCATTGTCAACAGGTGATCGGCAAGAGTGTTCAATCAACCAGTGTCAATTTGCGGGAGTTGTTATCAAATGCTGACTGGAAAAATGTAATATCAAAAGTAACCGCTAGCATAGCTCCAAAAAACTATCGTAATCTAGCTACACAGACAGTTGAAACCAGATTAACTATCGTACCCAAGCCAGGTTGCTTGTAAGTGTAAGAAAACAGGGCATGTAACCAGAAAATGTCCAAACTTATTTACTGGAGATCCATACTGCACCAATTGCCGTAGACTTGGTCATACCAACAACAGATGCCCGTATCAACCAGCGTCAGCAACAGGGTACCAGTGTGAAAAAGGGTATTGTTATAATTGTTCAACTCAGTATCCCTTTTACAGTGACCAATGTGACAAGTGTCTTGAACGAGTGGAGATGACC